GATTGCAGAATGTGTAAAACAGAAAATATGAGATAATGAAGAGATATCAACAAATTAAATTATAAAGAATTTAATATGAGAAATTATTGATTGGTACTTCAGAGCTAACAGCTTAATTGTTACATTAATAGTATTGCATTAATTGTATTCTAGTGGTCAGATGAGGGGATACTTTTCTTTCTGTTGTTTCATCATCAGCCTTTAACTTTTGATCCGACTCTTGGCATCTTGCGGGTTGGAGAGTGTATCTTCCGATCAGATAGATGGCTTGCTTCGAGTTGGTTGCATGAGCAGGGGCTCAGGGATTTTCTATGAGCTGTTGGTTTTGCTTTGCTATGATTATTGCATATAGAGCTTCTTTGTATCGGTAGAGAACCATGCCCAAGGATTGATTATTATTATTATTATTATTATTATTATTATTATTATTATTATTCTTATTATTATTCTTACTATGCATCTTATCTATCTTCTACACGATTCGAGTAAAAACCTAGAAAATCCTCCCGATTTCGTTGTAATTCACGTGAGGGGGGGCAAGATGCACATTCACATGCCACATCTACACTGTACTTTCCTCCTCCATCATCATCAACTTCTCCCTTCACCTTTTCCCTTTGTAGTTTTCCAGAAAGAAAGAAGGGGGAAATAAAAAGTCATTGACGTAGGCAGGGACCTTCAGCAGAAGGTCGGAAAAAGGGACCGATGATGAATGATGAATCCCGTGGGTAGTTTTGTTTTATTTTTACTTTTTATTTTTAATTCTTTTTCCCTTTCCCTAGCTTGGGCGGGTAAATTATTCCGTCGGGGACTATCCACCGAGGTTCTTTTATTTTTTTTTTTTTTTTTCGCTTGGGCTCTGATGAAACGCGCTACTGGCCCAACCTTTTACCCCCTTGAATGGACGAGTGAGAGAGGGGGAGGGATGGGGTATGATATGCCGATTTAGGTTCATGGTGCAAGCAGGGGGGTTTGCATCGCCAAGATAGGTTTATCGCGATAGATACTCCGTAGTGGAAGTCTTGGTTACCGTTTCTGGCCTGGAAAAAAAAAAAGAAAAAGAAAAAGAAAAAAACCTTCGTCTTGTCTTATTTTATTTTGCATTCTATTTTATATCTATATCTATATCTATTTGTTGTATTCTATTTTGATTTTTACGCTCCCGTGACAGGGAATAAATAGGCTTTTGCATATGATTATCAGACTCATCGTGAGTTTGCCACAGACGAAGAATCCATGTTTGGAGAGAGGGCATTGACACCAGGCTTGACCCGACGAACGACACAGCTTAACCTATGCTAAATCTACATTCAGTATATGATCACGTCCGTGTTTTGTTCCACTACCCGCGTTTCCCTTCCCACCCGTAAGTAACATCCGTACACAGGTTAATGACAACAGCCGGCTTTCTCAGAAAAAGGCTCCTTGCAACCCTGCGGGTTCTGGACACACAAGAGCTATGGGAGGGAAATGCAAGAGCCAGGTAATGAGGGTAGGATGTGGGATGTGGGATGTTTGGTTTACCCAGCCAGAGAGCTGATTGGGGTTTAAGCTCCAGGAACGGAACCGGGCAATCCAGAGTTCAGCAGAGCTTATGCCGACTGCACCTATTCCAAGGCGTATTTCTTATTTTTCTTGTTCTTTGCTTTTTCCGGTTTTTCTTCTTCTTTTTTCTTTTCCTGCTTCCGTGGAGGCTTGTGCTGCTGGTGAGCTATTTTTGGATACGCATCGTATGCATTTTAGCGCTGGGAAGGGAGAGAGAGAAGATCAGATGTTCATGGGCGATAGAGAGATAGGCGCTGGCCGGGTGCGATTCCCATTCCTTTCGGGGGGCTGGACCTCCAGCACGCCCACTGGAATCCACGTAACTTAATACGGCCAACTTGAGCATGTAATTGCGTATGTATGTATGTAAGTAACTATGTATGAGCTGTACGATCCCTATACGCAGTTGTCGAATCAGCAGAAATCAGTATGACATTATAATACAGCCTGGTTGGGAGTGTGTTTGTATTGTGTGCGTGCGTGAGTATGAGAGAGAGAGCGAGAGAGAGAGAAGATAAGCACACTCCGTAGTCCCGTAGTCCGCTTGTTCTTCAAGATCAACGCGACTATAATTAACCCTCTCACCGTCATCGTCGCTTGCCCGCTCTCAGCTTCTGCTGCTGTCATCCGGCACCTTGACTGGACTGCGTCGTTCGACCCGTCGCGGAGCTAAGGGCGCACTTAAGGGCGCACTACCTGGGCCCGACCTGCCTAGTGTCCTAGTCTCTCCACCGATTCCAGCCAGTCATCCGCTGTCTCCTGTCTCCTGTTCCAGTCTCCAGTGTCCAGCGTGTCCAGTGGTCGGGAGGCCCACCAAACCCTCCGCCAGCCCCATTTTTTTGAACCTCGTCTCCTCCACCAGCACCCACTGGACAAACTGCCCAACCGTCCACGGTGCCCGTCCCAGCGGCCAGTGTCGACTCACCCTGTCCTGCTGCGTTCTAGTCTTTGATCGCTTGAAAACTCAGTTCTTGTGTTCTGTTCGCTTCTCTGGGCCTGCCTTGCCAGTTGGCTCTACTTTTTTCCCTTATCTCACCCCCGTGTCCCGCCCCTTCACGATCTTCTAACAACACTCTTCTTCCCTCCAGTCGTCTTCTTCTACTTCTGCCTCTTCCTCTTCTTCCTCCTCTTCTTCCTCCTCTTCCTCACTCCTGGTCCCCCACCTAGTTCAGTCATCCTGTTTTGTTGTTGTGCCTTGTCTTTTGCTTCTTTCTCTACTTTCTTCTTTCGCTTCTACTTCTTATTTTTTGTTTCTTTGGAAACCAGCGTCGCCCATCATTTACCATTACCTTTTTAAATACCTTCGTTTCGATTCCATCACACACCCTCAGTCCATCCTGTCGAGCGCTCCAAAGTCACCTCTCGCTCTCTCTTCCGTTCTCGAAAGAACGAAAGGATCGAGGCAACAATTCAAGCGTTCATAAGATTTAAAAGATAAAACAAGAACATAGTAAAGAAAGATAGAGAAAACGTTGATTCGGGCTGGCCCAATTTACTCTTCTCTTCTTCCTTTCTTCTTTATAGGATTCGGCATCAGTGCTTGGGATGCGTTTTTTTGAGGCTGGCTCCTCTCACAACCATCTGGAACAGCACCCCATTCCAACCCTTTTTTTAACAATCGTTTTTCTCTTCTCTTATTTTCGTTTCTTCTCCTATTGCGTGGCTGGAGCCCATCGATTGCATCGTTGTCCCGTGTAGTTTTGACTACCCCACAAAACGGTTGGTTCCCGCCTTCCTCTACCCTTTTTTCTCCTTGCTGGGCCGCTCCTCGCTCAGCCTTCTGCTGTGCTGCCTATCTTCTGAGAAGACACAGCCCTGCGGAAGACAAATATCATTTCTAAATATAATCAGAATGCATCCTCATTACGATATGTGACTGACGCTCTCGGTCTTGTTAGAGATAGGTTGACTCGCAAATGGCGATGTATTCGCAGCATGGCGCTTCGATGGCACCACCACAGAAACCAGAAACCTTCATGCTTTCCAATGAGGCTCAACAAAGTCTCCCCCAAGATGCACAGGTTGCCCTCCAGCAAGTCGATAATTGTGAGTCTGCTGTGTTTTTTTCCTGTTTCTGTAGTAGCCGCCATAAAGAGTCCTGTCCTTGAGCCGCATTCTTCGATTCTTCCCATGAGTTTTCGAAAGTGCTTAGTCACTACCCAAAAGCTCCATCGCTAATTCAACGCGCGCTGCAGTAAAATACTTCCTCATATCTGCTCCGGTTGACTGGACCCCAGATCAACTCATCAGACGATTCCTACTCCCAACAGGCGACTATGTCTCCTGTGTTTTATGGTATGTACAACGCATGGGAAATGGGAGGAGAAGATCAGCAGAGCCTAATGGGAGATCGCAGGAATAACCTTTTCCATATCTCGGGAACTGACATCGTGCGATGCTTATCCTTTCGATTCCAGGCCTTTGGCCGCCCGGTTAAAAACACCAAGAAGTTCGAAGAGGGCATTTTCTCTGATCTTCGCAACCTCAAATCCGGGACCGATGCGTCCCTCGAGGAACCGAAGAGCGCCTTTTTAGACTTTCTTTATAAGAATAACTGTATTCGAACCCAGAAAAAACAAAAGGTGTTCTACTGGTACAGTGTACCTCACGATCGGCTCTTCCTTGACGCATTGGAGCGGGATTTGAAGCGTGAAAAGATGGGTCAGGAAGCAACTACTGTGGCGGTCAATGAGCCTGCCCTGTCCTTCGAATTCGATTCATCACAGTCTCTCTTTGAGCAACTCACAAAGGCCCAACAAGCGAATTCGTCTTCATTCTCTGCCCACGCCAGCACAACCTTCTCTCACTCTACTTCTCCTATGGGTAGAGCCACCGATTCTATGCCACCACCCCAACTTCCCCCATCAATGCCAGTTCTTCAAGAGGACACCAGCAACCAGGGTATGTACAATTCAGTGGGGATGCCCAATAACTCGATGAACAACGGTATGAGCAAATCCGAACAGGACATGAGTCATTTTAACTACGATCGACACGGCACGCCAGTCTCGAGAATTCACCAGCGCCATACTTCCATGCCGACGTTTATGGAGTATTCGCCGGCCCCGTCGTTCGTTTCATCACACTATGATGAGTTTGGTCCTCGAGGT